CCGCCACTGTCTCTCCTGGGCCTCTGGAAACAGGGCGGCCTCTTCCTAAGGAGGGCTCTCACCTGCCGGGAAGCGGGCAGCAAACGGCTGGGCGGCGAGGACGCGGTCCCCGGGTACAGCAGGAGCGTGTTCTGCCATGGGGCTCGGGTGTGCCCCTCTGTGAGCACCCGGGGGAGCAGCATGCTCCCCAGGCCCGGGTCACCGATGCGTGTTGGCCGTGGGGAGCTAGAGAACAGGTCGGCAGAGGGCTCCCAACACTGCTGTCCTCACGGCGAGACCCACAGCTCTGTCGGGTCGTCCCCATGCCATGCTGTTCCGCTGAAGGTGCGTCGTTGCGTGGGCTCACCGTGTTCACAGGACACTGAAGGCGCTTGCACCACGGCCAGGTTGGGGACATTCTGTCACAGCGAAGACCCCTGCACACGCCGTCCTCCCCTCCCATGCAGGCGGCTGCCGCACTGCGGCCTGTTCCCATGGTCTGCCGGTGTGGACGTCCACGCCCTGGACTAGCGGCACGTGGTCCCTAGTGGCGGGCTTGCCGGTGTCCACGTGCAGTGTTGGGGGTCCTTCAGGCCAGTGCCGCCGTCACCTGGACATGCCGCATCTCACTTGGCAGCACCGTCTCGGCGGCCACGTGGGCTCTTCCCTCCTCCAGCTCTGATGGGTGACTGCCGTGGACGTCCGTGCAGACTGGCGTGTGGACGTATTTCGTCCTGGGGTGCGGCTCCCAGGCCGGAAAGTACTTCTTGCCCACCCACACGAGGAGCTGCCGGGCCGTTTTCCAAAGCCCTTTGCCGTTTTGCATCCCCACCCATGGCGCGGGAGGTCCAGTCAGGGACGCAGTGCTGTCAGACAGAGTCCTGTGCTTGCGTCAGCGTCCTCCTGTGTGCCAACGCCGCCTCGGATGTTTTCTCTGGACGGCGTCTGCACCAACGCCCACTCACCATGCTGCCGGGTCACCCTCTTACCGTGGAGTCGGTGCGGTCTCCGCGTGCTCTCCGTGCTGGCCGGGTTACCCTCTTACCGTGGAGTTGCAGTGGTCTCCGCGTGCTCTCTTACCAGTTGCATGATCTGTAAAACTTTCCACTTTGTGGGCTTTTTCGCTGAGTAAGCTTGTTTTTTCTGTTGGTTTTTAAAAAATAACTGTGTTGGGAACCAGCAGTTAGCATAATGGCTATGTCGCTGGACTCCCACGTAGTCAACTGCGGTTCGTGTCCCGGACCCAGTGGCTTAAAACTCACGCTGGGCGCGTGTGCGTGCGTGCCCAAGATCCCGAGAGGAGAATGGAGAAGGGATTGCGGCATGACCATCCCCCCTGGGGGGTGATTTCTTGCTTTCTGTCTCTATGTCTCTCTCTGTCTGTCTGGCGAGCGCACGCGCCCTACAGTAAAAATCTCTCCAAAAAAAATAATAATAATAATAACTGTGTTTAAGAAATAAGCGAACAGGACTGTCTCGGGAGAGCTCTTGTTATGTGGGGGGAAGTGACGCCTCGGAACTCCAGCTTTTCCACGATCCCGTAGAGGGACTGAGTGGGAAGAGGCCACTGTCCTGTCGTCACGCGAGGACGGAGCCACTGTGTGCCCTGGGCTGTGCTCTCGTTACGGGGTGAAAAGGGCTCCCCGGTGGCCTAGTGGTGAACGTCCGCTTCTCCCCGCGTAGCCTCTAGTTGTTGTCACCTGTCAGTGGGGGTGGCAGGAGCCCTCTCGGTGGGTCGGTCTGCCCGCAGCTGGCCGGTGTCGTGCATGTGGTCCCGACGGCAGCTCCCCAGTGGCCCGTGTGAGGCGTGCAGAGTCCCGAGTGTCAGGCATCCTTCCCGTCCTGGCCCGACTTGAGCTCGTGTGTGGCCCTGCGAGGTGCAGACCTGGAGGGTGGGCTGAGAGGCCGGGCCACATGCACCCTGTCTCCTCAGAGAAGCCCGGCAGCTTTGGCACCAAGCGGGCCTCATGCCTGACCACCTCTGCCCCCAGGTACGAGGGCACCGGCCGCTCGCTGTCCCTGAAGCTGATCCAGCAGCTGCGCCAGCAGAGCGCCCAGAGCCAGGTCAGCACCACCGCCGAGAACAGGACCACGGCGACCGCCAGGCTGGCCTCAGGTACCACACAGGCCGGGCCTGCAGTCAGCAGCCCGCGGGGCCAGGGCTCGTTTCCCCGGGGCACCATGGTTGGTGCCACATGAAACGTCACCAGGCAGATCAAGTTCCTGGAGGGGAAGTCACCAAGCCATAAGATAGATGGGGCCCTGGCCCGCGCCTTCGGGTGGCTGTGGACCTAAAGAGGCGGGTCACACGGTCTCCAGAACAGCCGGGGGAGGCCACCCAGCTTAGGTTCCTGGGCCAGTGCACATGGTGACGGTCCCCGTCTGCTCTGTGGGGACAGCGCGCACTCTGCACGAGGTCTCCCTACAGGAGTCCATCCGCTACGCACCTGGGGACGCCGTGGAGCAGTGGCTGAACCACCTGCTGTGCCTCGACTGCCTCAGCCTCACCCCGATGGTCTCGGGCTGCCCCCTGCCCGAGGCCTGCGAGCTGTATCCTGCTGGGTGGGGCAGATGGCCGGGCCGGGAGGAGGGCGGCCCCATGGCAGCCGCTCCAGGGGAAGGGAGGCTGAGCAGGCCCCACTGCCTGCCCCTCCTCCCCTCCCCACCACTGTGTGCCTGCTCCGGACCCCCGGCTCAACCTCCAAGCTTTGGGGCCTTCCTCTGACGTCCTGCAGGCGTTGTGCTAGGCTGGGTGCTCAGGTCTCCTTTGCTTGCTTAACTTGGGCCCCAGCTATTACGTCAACAGAGACACTCTCTTCTGCTATCACAAGGCCTCGGAGCTGTTCCTGCAGCGGCTCATGGCGCTGTATGTGGCCTCTCACTACAAGGTAAGGGCGTGCCGAGCCGCTCACAGCCCTTCACTCGGCTCCTCGTGGCTGTCCGTGGCCAGCGCTTCAGGTGGCCTGTTGGCACCAGCCTGTCCCGATGCTGGCGAGCCCGGGGACTTTGCTTCGAGGGCAGAGCCTGGACCGTGCATGGTAGCTTTGGCACGGCAGCCGCAGAGGCAGTGCACAGCACCTGCTAAGCCGCAGGCTGGTGATGGCACGGCGGGAGCGACCATGCCTTCAGTCCCGAGCCTGGCCCTGCCCCGCAAGGCTATGGGCGCAGTGACCTGGCACGCTTAGCCTGGCCGATACTCTGAAAGCTGAAGGGCAGTTGGGAAGGGCTGCTGAGGCATCTGGGGCACCTGAGGGGAGCCTTGGCTGCCGGCCGGAGCTCAGATGTGGGGGCACACCCACCTCCTGTGGGAGACAGATGGGCCCACCCCTGCAGTCCAGTGTCCATGAGGGCTGCAGGGTCGGGGCTGGCCGCGGGGGCAGCAGCCCAGGGCCGTGGTGTGCTCTCACCGGCTGACGTGCCCGCAGAACTCGCCCAACGACCTCCAGATGCTGTCAGACGCGCCTGCGCACCACCTCTTCTGCCTCCTGCCGCCCGTGCCGCCCACCCAGAACGCCCTTCCCCAAGTGCTTGCCGTTGTCCAGGTATGGGAGGGCTGCTGCCTTGATGTCCTCGGGGCCAGGTGGCGGGGCTGTAGGGAAGGCAGTGAGGTTGCCCCGAGGAAGCTGCTGGCCAGAGAGCTGGGGCCTGCGGTGCTGTGGGCCGGAGTCCGTGCCAGCCGCCCCGGACTCGGCTCCTGACGGGCTGCCATCTGCTTCCCCACGGCGGTCAGCACCGCCTGGGGCCCTGGTACACTCAGGTGCCAGCCCGGGAAGGGTCTTCGGGGCTGGCACGTCCTTACGTGCGAGGCTTCCTCTGGCCAGTGCAGCCTCGGAGTGTTGAGCAGTCTGCCCTTCCAAGGCAGTGCCCACACGTCTGCGAGCCGTGTAATGGAAGCTGCCTGGTGTCCTGCACATGCGTGCTCCGCAGCCGAGCCGCCCTCGTGGCAGCACTGTCCTGTACGGAGCTGCCTGGACATCCCACCCGACCACACATGGGAACTCGCGTGGGAGCCTCCGCTTTTCCATTTCTCAGTGTGCCGGATGTCACGTGTAGCCCTGGGAGACAGGAGAGTGCCGTGGCACGGTCACGCTGCAGGCCACTTCCCATCTTCCTCCTTGTGGGGTTTAGGCTTAGGGCACTGCCGTTGGTCACGTAGGACCCAGCGCCCTAACCACAGGCTGCCGCTGGCCCTGGAGACCCTCTGATAGGGTTTGCTCTCTGGGTCGGGAGGTGTTCAGTCCCTGCCTTGTCACCCAGGGTGGTAAGGAAGCTTCTGTGGGGAGCGTCCGAGCCAGTCTAAGCGGCCAGCGGGCAGAGGCGGGAGCGCTGTCCGTAGTGTGGCCTGTCTCTGGGACTGGCCTGGCCATCCTCACCGCCCTGCTGTCCTCAGGTGTGCCTAGAGGGCCAGATTTCTCGTCAGTCCATCCTCAGCAGCTTGTCTCGAGGCAAGAAGGCTTCTGGGGACCTGATTCCGTGGACGGTGTCGGAGCAGGTGAGGCACCTGCATGTCGGAGTGGGGAGCGGGTGGGGCAGAGGGTGCGTGCGGCCAAACTGCCGGCTTGCATCTCCTGTAGTTCCAGGATCCAGACTTCGGAGGCCTCTCCGGGGGCAGGGTCGTCCGCATCGCTGTTCACCCGGATTATCAAGGGGTAACGGGCCCGCCTCCCCCCAGCCTGTGTGTCATGTCGCTGGCACCCCTTTAGGACAGGCGTAGGCGGCGGTTTTAACAAGGAGCTGGTGAGGAAGCGAGGGCGGGGACAGAGGCGTCTCTGTGCTGGGTATCTAGCCAGGCCTCGGGCCCGGGGAGGGCTGGGACCGTGGTGCATGCCCGCTCACTGAGAGCAGGCTTGTGCTGCTGCCAGCTCATGTGGTCATCGCTGAGGGTTAGCGGTGGGCACGCCCTGGGGCACGGAGGCTGCCCTTGGGGCTTGCCGACCCTGGAGCAGAGTGTGGCCAGCAGCCTGTCCTGGGCCCTGTGAGAGTCAGGGTCAGGCTGGGACTTCCCCGGTTCTCTGGCAAGTGCTTGTGACCAGAGCGGAGGCTGCAGGTGCAGCCTGGGCTGACACCAACCCTCCTCCTCCCCACCACTGCTTGCAGATGGGCTACGGCAGCCGGGCGCTGCAGCTGCTGCAGGCGTACTACCAAGGCCACTGCCCCAGCCTGCAGGAGCCGGGCCTCAAGCCATGCCAGGAGATCCACGCCGTCAGCAGCGAGGTAGGTGGGCCTCCTGTGTCCTGGCTCGTGGGAGGGTGGGCCTCTGGGTCGTCAGGAGCTTTCTCTGGGCCATCTCTTTGAGTTTGTGGATGTGGCATCTTCCTCCAGCCCTTGAGGTCCTCAAACCAACTGCATCCGTGTCTCCTGGAAACTTGCAAAAATGTGAACTTGGGGCTGGCCCATAGCACAGCGGTGAAGGGAGACCGATCCCACGGTGCTCCGAGTTCCAGCTCTGAGTCCCAGTCCTGGCTGCTTGGAACATGCCAGGCACGTGGGTGTACTGCCCAGCGCCCAGCAGTGTGGAGACATGGAGGAGGAGGGGTTGTGGGGCAGCCCCACCCTTTAGGAGCTGCGGCCTGTTTCTGGTGTGTGCACACACCCTCTGTCAGTGAGAAAAAGAAAAAATGCAGTCTTGAACACACCCAGGCCTATGAATCAGGAATGTGGGCGGTTCCAGGACTCTGGCCTGACAAGGCTTCCAGGGGCTTCCAGTGCTGGAGAAGCGTGGCTCTCGGTGCCTCCCCACAGCCCGCTCTCGGTGTCTCCCCGCAGTCCGCTCTCGGTGCCTCCCCGCATTGTGCTCTCGGTGCCTCCCCGCAGCCCGCTCTCGGTGCCCCGCATGCTGCTCTCGCTGCCTCCCCGCAGCCCGCTCTCGGTGTCTCCCCGCAGCCCGCTCTCGGTGCCTCCCCACAGCCCGCTCTCGGTGCCTCCCCGCATTCTGCTCTCGGTGTCTCCCCGCAGTCCGCGCTTGGTGTGTCTGCAGCCTGTACCGACCTGCCCGGGAAGCCTTACGCTTACCTGAAGGGAGACCGCCAGCAGTGGGGCTCACCCCACGCCTGCTGGGGAGTGGGGAAGGGGCTCAGTTTGTCACTTCCCAAGGGCGCAGGCTTTCAGGGGACAAAACCTGGGCTTCCTGCTGGGTCTTCATAGCCGTGCCTCTACCCTTCCCTACGTGCTTCAGCATCTGTACCCACGTGGCCACTTGGCTGTGTCGGGCTTGGGGCGCGCCAGGACCAGTGCAGACGTTGGGGGCGCTCTGCGCTGGGGGTGCTCCACGGTTGCGGTGCTCCACGGTTGCGGTGCTCCACGGTTGCGGTGCTCCGTGTTGGGGGTGCTCCACAGTGGGGGCACTCCGCTTTGGGGTTGCTCCTCTATTGGCAGGACAGGATTGAGCCTAGAAACCCCTTAAGCTATGTCTGCGTTCGGCCCGAGCTCGCAGTGGTGGGGTGCCTGTGACATTGCTGTGTGGGCTTGCTGTGTGGTGGCCTGTCCCCTGCCATGACACTGACCGCCCTCCCGTCTCGCTCTGCAGGCCGTCGGCTTGCTGGAAGAAGTCATCAGCCCCCGGAAGGACCTGCCGCCTCTCCTCCTCAGGCTGAGCGAGAGGCCTGCCGAGCGCCCGGCCGAGCGCCTGGACTACCTGGGGGTTTCCTACGGGCTGACCCCCGGCCTCCTGAAGTGAGTGTCGGCTGCCCCCTTCCAGCGCGGTGCCCTGGTGCCCCCTGCCCACCTCCCCCACACTGCCTGGCTTGCTCAGCTGCGTCCCGGGCACCCCTGGCAGCCCCTCTTTTCTCTGCAGGTTCTGGAAGCGGGCTGGATTTGTCCCTGTCTATCTCAGGCAGACCCCGGTGAGCAAGGCATCTGGGAGGGTGGGCTCGGCCCGGAGGGCCTCGGAAGGTGTAGGGCGGGGCCTGGACTTCAGGCTGCGGACACTGGGTGCCGTCGGAAGGGCTCGCTCGGAGGGAGTGGGTCCGGAAGGAGAAGTGGACATGGAGACGGGGCGTGGGGTGGGCATCTGGCTGAAGGATCGTGCCGAGGATGCGATCAGCCGGCGTCGCTCTGGTGTCAGCAGCTCGTCAGGGTCCGTGTCATAGGGCTGGGGTTTGCGTGCCCTGTCCCTGCCTTGCTGTGTTCAGGGGCTAGGGGCCTTGGACGTTCACATGGTGAGGGAGGAGGGCACGGAGCCTTGAGCCCAGGGGAGAGGGGAGCAGGGCGTCAGGGCAGGGTCAGAAACACGTCCGGAAGAGGAGCG